CCACATCCTTGCGAACTCACCTTCCTGCTCCCAGGGGGCCCGGCCGTCCCTGCAGAGTACCCCCCCTCCCCTTCGCCAGTCATCCAGACCCCAGAAATTCTGACCCCAGTCACGCCACACCCTCCCCGGCCCAGCTCCGGTGCCAGTCCCGCCCTTGGGAACAGGAGTCCAGCGGCTCCTCACGTGCTCACTGGATGTGAATGGCCATCTCCCCAAAGACATCTCGGCTTGTGCCTCCTCTCTGGGGTGATGGCCATTCACACCCGTGCCCGCCTTTTCAACTGCGACGATTGTCTCCGGCATTTGCTGTGTTCTAAGGATGCTTCGTGCATTTTGGCCCCCGACCGTCGCCCACACGGGATGAGCGAGGATTTGCTCCCGCTCTCTTGTTGCGTCCGAGTTTAAAATTTTGGCCAATTCCAAGTTCACCTATTTTTTCTTCTGCTGCTCGTGGTATGTGTCATGTTGCAGAACCATTGCCAGGTCCAAGGCCACGGACGCCAAGACTGCTGGGGAAAGTTACACTGTGGGGGTCTGGCGGCCCTTGGCAGTCCCAAGGGGAAGGACGTTTGTCTTGAGCCTGAAGTCTGAGCAGGAGTTGGGGGTAGGGGTGGAAGAGTGAACCTTCCAGAACAGGGAACTGCAGGTACAAAGACTGGGAGATAAGAGAAAGTGGAACTCACCCTTCTGTCCTTCCCCTTACCCCCAAGGACCCCTGCGTGGCCCCTCCCCCAGGATCTGGGAGGGGGGGGTAGAGGCGGGGTTTTGAGCGAGCGGGCAGGTCGTTCCTGGGGGAATGGCAGGCTCCGTCTCCTTCAGTCAGTGTGACCATCCTCTCTCCGGGGGCACCTTCCCTGAGGCTGTGGGGGGAGGGTTGGCTGCCAGGCCAGGCCAGGCCCTTAGTCCAGCTCCTGCTGCCATAGGGTGGGTGTCATGGGGGGAGGAGACAGGGCGCATGGCCTGAGTCTCTCCCTCACCTGAGGCCTAGCTCTGATTCTCCAGGTGCTTTTCTGTGGGCCTCCCTCCGTCCCCTGGGAATCTTAGGCAGAAACCCGAGACTTGAGACTCAGGCCGGGGTTCAGGCCGCCGGCCGCTCTCCGGCCTGCCCTCCTTCCCTGAGAGCTACCCCGTCGTTGCCACGGGGACTGTAGCACAGGCCAGTCCTCCACCCACCTGGCCTGTGGTTCAAGGTGCTGGGGCCAGCCTCCTTCTTGGGGCTGGCGCACCTGGTCAGCTCTCGGCCCCAGAGGAGGGGGCGGGGCTCGGGGGCCCCGCTGGTTTCGTTTTGAGCGAGGTCTCTTCCTCCTCCTCGCCCCCACTCTGCCTCGGACCCCGCTTTCTGGGAACCGCGATCACAGCTTCCTCTGAACTCTGTTAACCCGGAGACCAGGGCAGGCAGGAGGCCAAGTTGAGTCCCGCCTCCCGGACCCGAGGCTTCCTGCCCTGCTCCGCACACACCTCTGCCCCCCGGGGGGCGGGCCCAGCGCACTCCTCCAGACCACTCACCTTCCACAAGGTTCTGGGCCGCCCCTGCCTGCATCCCCCCGTCCCGCCGTGTCCCAAGCTCTGGACACAGGAAGCCTGGTGGCTTCAAGCAGGGTGGCCCTAGACACACACAAGCCGGGGTCTGACTTCCTCTGGGCCACTGGGGCCTCCCATGGCATCGGGTTTGGGTAGAGTACAGGCCAAGTCAGGCCTTCGGTCCTGGGCACCTTGGACACTGGGGCCAGGTCGCTCTCAGTGGGTGGCCTGTTCTGGGCACCGTGGGGCATTGGGCAGCACCCCTGGCCCCCTCCCACTCGACACCACTCCCACCCACAGATGTCCCCAGACATCACCCAGTGTCCGCTGGCTGAAGGGGTAGCATCGTCCTCATTGAGACCCAGTGGGCTACTGACAGCTGGGAGGGGACACACGTGCCACCTCTTGTGGCGGGTCCCATCTTATAAAGACTTTGAACGAGAAAAAAAAGAATGAAATACCATACTAATTTTTCATATTGATCACAAGGTGGAAATGGTAATACCTGGGCTCTATGGGGCTAACTAAAACATGCAGCTGCCAGCACTTTGAACTTGGGGTGCTATGGATGGGCAGACTCTGTGGGGAACCGGCCTCAGTGTCTGAGGTGCCACTTCCCGTGCCCCACCCTGGGATGTTTGTTATGCTCACAGAAGGGAATTCGGCCAATCCCAGGCCCAGGCTGAAGGATTGGATTGGAGCAGCACCCCACAGGATGGGGGGTGGGGTGGGGTGGGCGTAATCAATTGAGTGTCTAGAAGGACCGGTCCCATCACAGCTGATGGACTGGGGGCTCACTTCTCCGTAGGACACCCCTGGGCTCTCGGGGTGAGCTGCTCAGGGCTCCGAGGCACAAATGCCATGGAAGGGAACCAGGTGGGGATACAGGGGGACAGCACACGTGTTCATGGGAAGCGCTGTTTATTCTGCTGAAGCTATCGAACGGAAAAAAAGCTGGCACCGACGAGACGCTAGATATTTTCTTCTGGCAAATCAAGCACCAAAAAGGAAAAAAAAAAAGATAGATAAAAAGGCGAAGGAAACACAAAACAAGTAAACGAGACTCATCGTCAAGATTCCAAAGCTCTCCGATTTGCTTCTTCGCTGACTTTTTGGACAGAGGTCGGTCAGGCAGAGGCGCACTGGGGGCCACAAGTGTTGCCCTGTGTTCACAGGACCGCCCCCCCCATCCCAAATAAGGCAGCTGCGTCATTTCACAAACTCGGGGTTTTTAAGGAGCAGCCACGAGAAACGTCAACGCGTTTGCAAAACCCTTGGTGTCTCCGGAGAACCAGGAGAGTGGTTTGGCTCCACCTCCGCCTGGCCCCCCACACGCCTGGAGACCCCAAAACCAAAGGGCTGTTAGGTGTTTCACGGAGAAGAGCAACAGGGAACCATGACCACGTCTAGGACGGGAAGCGGGTCCCCAGGTCGCGGCCACCTTTGGCCGGACCACTGGGGGCAGCCAGGCCGGAACAGCGAGAAGCGCAGTGACTGGGGTGTCAGCTTAGTGGGTGCCAGGTCTGCGGCTGTTCGTGAGGAACGGGGGTCAGGGCAGGGAGACGCGTGGAAACCCAGCTGTCAGCGGTTCGGTTCGGTTCGGTCTCCGAGGCTCTGGTGTGCTTCCTGCTTTGTGGGAGCCTGGTTGTTTTGCGGCCGGACAGTGCCCGGCTCCCCCTAGGCCTTTCCAGACGCGCCCAGGGGACGTGGGACGCAGACCCAAACAACGGCACAGCCAGGGTGCAGACCTGTCACCGCTCGTGGGGCGCCTCGCTTTCGAGCCATGCTCCACTCCCCCCCCACCAATCCTAAATTCCACCCCAGTGCCCCCCCCCCCAGTCAATGTGGTCTTTTGGTTCTTGCAAATGGCAGCTGGTTATACAGTAACGGGCGTTGGCTGGGGCTCGGGGCGCTGGTGTGCACATGACAGGCCCATCTGTGACCGCCGGCGCCAGGAACTCTTGGGCCTAAATGCTGAGTCACGGTTCGCACGTTAGGGCCCCTTCCCTGAGGAAGCTGGGGTACCCACAGAGCAACACCTTCATCACTTTTAGTTATCTTTTTTATTCTTTTCTTAATCAGGTGAGACTTAGGGGGTCAACTAGGAAGTAGCAGAAACCTGGAAATCCAGTGGAAGGAGCCACCAACTTGTCTCTTCTTTGGTGTCCACAGGAGAAAAGCACGGGAGACTTAGAAGGAAAGATCCAGCGGTCCCCACAGGGCCACAAGTCCCTGCCTCCTGCGTGCACCTTCTCCAGAAGCCCAGGGCCAACCTGACTTGCTCCAGGCCGCGTCCTTCCCCGAGAAGCCTTCTCCTGCAATCTGCCACAGATAAATATCTGCCTGTGTCGAGCCACCAGGAAGTGTTGAGGGGGTGGCTCGGTGGCTCGGGGGAGGGGACCTTCAGAAGCAGCCCTGGCCTCCCCCGCTTCCTACTGCCGCCCACAGGCGGCCTTCTCGTGGGCCTTCTCGGGCCTTGAAGGCAGAAAGACTGACCTTGGGAGTCAGAGGGCCTGGCTGGGCACCCTGACAGAACCAGGGGCTGGGACCACCTCCCCCCTGCCTTTCCAACCAGCTGCCGCTGAACCGTTTGAGGGCCGAAGAGTGACGCGCCCTGGTGGTCACTTCTGATTTGCTGGGCGAGCAGAGGTGACAGAGGCTGCCACCGCCCACATGTGCAGGTGCGGGGGAGTGCAGGCTGCATTTAAGGGATCTGCTGAGCGTTCCAACCACATCGAGGGCTTTGAAACCCAACACTTCCTTTCTGCCCAGACGAGTGTCAGCTCAGCTGCCACTAAGAAGGGTCACGACGTCTGCTCCTGAGGCACAGGAGAGGACCAGAAGGTCCCTCCTGGGATCAGCTGTCCCAGGCTGTGTGACAAGAGGCAGCACGGCCAGGGTGACGTGGACCCCATGACGAGCATCGGGCTTACTGCTCTCTGGGCCCACTGAGGGCCCCCTCCAAGGGGGCAGGTGTCAGGCAGGGGACAGCACGCGGAAACGCAAGGTGGCATTTCTGTCTCTTGGTGACAGATGCCAACGTCTGGGAATCCCCCTGAAGCTTCATTCCTTGGAAAAAGAGAGAAGCCAGTTCCTGACGCCACCCTACCCCAATTTCTCTGTAGCTCGGTCAGCTGGGGGCTGGGGCTGCCCTCAAGGGACACTGTCCCCCCGGGGTTGGACCGAAAGCTGACACCCAAAGGACAAATGGAACAAGAAGTACAATGGGCTCAGTTTGCTTTTTCTTTCCCCGTTTGTTTTTTTTTTGTTTTTTAAACCTAAATAAGCAGATTCTCAGATGCCAACATGAGCAGCGTCACCCGTCCCCAGAGACCAGAGAGCCCGCTGGCTGCGACAGGTGGGAGAGGAAGTGACCGTTCCGCGTGTGCATGTCCTTTCTGAGTGGCTCGGCGGGGTGGGGGAGGAGCTGGCCGGTCCCAGGCGGGGAGGGCTGGCGGACAGGACACGGACAGGTCCCCAGCCAGACCGTCACACGGCGGTCCGCGTGGGTGTGCTGGGCTGGTCCAGACGCAGCGTCTTACACAGCCAGCCGGCAAAATCCACTTCCTCCACCTCGGACCGTTTGATGAAGGTGTGATTCTGGAAGAGGAGAGAGGCGCCTGTGGGGAGGAGGCAGGGACCAGCCTTCTGCTCGGGCCCCCAGGCCACCTGGGCCAAACCCCTGAACACTGAGCGGGGAGGCCCCTAGCACAGGATATACTCAGGACAGGGAGAGAAACCGAACCCGCAGCGGCAGGTGTCACGCCTGAGGCCTCGCACGCCTGGGGCAGGGCCTTAGGAGGGTGAGGCTTCTGTGAGCTCCCTGGAGCCTGGGTCTCCCCCTCAGCCCTGGGGACACTGGGGCAGGGTCGTTCTCTGGGGGGGGGGGCCATCCTGGGCCCCGCCCGCTCAGTGCCAGCAGCGCCCCATCCTGACAACCATGGCCGTCTCCGGAGATGGCCCTGTGTCCCCTGCAGGCAGTCACCCCGGGTGAAAGCGTCTGGTCTGGGACAGAAGTCCCTGTGAGGATAGCGGTTTCCCCACGAGTCCCGTCCAGTATGGCAGACGCCGGCTGAGGGAGGCTCCAGGGCCCCTGAGTACCTCAGTCACCGTGAGTGGCTGGCGCTTCCACAGGGACGGCAGAGTGCCAGCGCCTCCTGGGTCTGGGCCGGGTCGGGTGACCAGATGCCTTCCTGACCAGGGCGTGCCGGGCGGGGCCCCGAGCCCACAGCAGGTCCTAGTCTCCCCAGTGACGTTGGGGGCCCATTCCACCCCGTGCACGCTGGAGGCAGGTGAGGCCACCCGCACCCTCCCGAAGGCGAAGGCCGGGGTGAAAGGCTGAAAAAAGGCCTGGAGCCCTGCAGCCTCGGGCGGCGGGGCGGCAGCAAGGCCAGCCCCGGACAGTGGGCAGCATTACTCAGGCGACAGCCGTCCGTTTCGCAACGGACACTACGTCTCTAGCACGCGTCTCTGGAAACCTGCTGCGTGAGACGTAGTGTCTGGAGAGAATCGGGGGGACGCACCCTTCCCACGTGGCACTCCAGGCCCGGGTTTCTGTTGTGACCACAGCAAACAGTGACGACGACCACCCGGACCTGACCTGTCACCACAACTACAGTGGGTGGGGTCAGACAAGGTGCCGGGCCTTCCCCGTGGAGGTGCTGATGCTGAGGCTCACAGATGAGGGACAGCCAGCCTT